CCCCGGCCCAGCTGCAGCCCTCGGCCCTGAGAGCACCGTCCTCACCGGTCCTGGGGAGGGGGAATCCAGTCAGGGCTTGGGGTTCAGTCAGCTTGGGGCTGATTTTTTTCTTTTTCTTTTCTTTTTTTTTTTTTACTAACTGGTCCCTGTGGCCTTCCCCTTTCTAAATTCGACATTCTTCAGAGTGCCCACTGATTGCTATCCTGTTCTGGAAGGACAGCTGCCTCTTAAGAATCAGCCATCAAAGCCCCAGCGTTATAAGTTTGAGGATCAAAGCAAGAGGGACAAAACAGACCTTAAAAGATGTGCCTGACTTTGTAGTCTGCATGAATTTAAAAAAGCGAAGGAGCCAAAAAAGCATTTGGGAGGCAGGGAACTGTAGGTCTCAAATGAGGATGCTTTGAGATTATGATGCATGAGAAATGCATGCAAGGGAGGGCAGAAAATAAAGTCCTATAGAAGAAGCAAGAAAAAAATGTATAGCACTATTATGTTCCTGTGATTGTCATGCACGTAAAGTCGTTTTTAAAGACCAATATATTCTAGTATGTCACAAAGTCCTGAAAGAGCTATTAAAGCAGTGGGTGTTACTGTTCAGCGTACAAACTGCTGCTTACTAGGGAGGATGGGAGGAGATGACCCAAACTTCAGTTTAAAAACATAATACTGTTTTGGCCAGCAGTCCCTCCTTGATGTTTAAGGCTGCGTTGGCATGCAGGTTTTCGGAAGGCTGCAGATAAAATGACGTGAAATCTCAAGCCTCCGTTTCAAAAGTACCTTAGAAAATGTGTCCGGTTCTCAAAGGTATTGCGTCTCACTCTTGTTAAGAGTGTGTCCAAGAATATAAACTGAGGAAGGTGTTACTGCTGGAGGAGGCCATCACTTTCTGGCGAGTAGCTGTGGGCACAGTCTTTCTCCCGGGTCAAGCGAACTAGCGCACCCTCAGTAAACGGTGCACGTTTCTGTGCGTTGCGTAGGGCGTAGAGCGTGCATGCAAACCCTTACAGCGCAGCAGCTGTTCCCTGGTACGTTCCCACCTCGCCATAACCCACCCTGACTTTTTGTTTTGCCCACGCTTCGCTGCTCGGAGTTCACATCACAAACTGCTTTTGAAACGAGATTCTTCATTTGGTCTACACGCTGTATCAGGTGTGGGAGGGAGACCTAAAAAGCAGCTGAGATAGTTGTACTGTTACAAACGCTAGGCTGCGTGTCCCTTATTTATCTTTCTGTAGTATCTTCCATAACAGCTCAAGCAAGTCCACATGGTGCAGGGAAGGTTGTATCACTGTAACTACAGTGGTAGGGTTAAAATAGTATGTGAATATGCAGAAAAACCCTTTAGGCTCCTGAGTTAATTAGGGGATTTTGAAAAATGTGTCATGCCTCTTTAGTAGTGTCTGTCATGCATACTTCATTTTTCATGTACTAATTGCAAATGCATATTCCTCTAGAAAACAGCGGTCCTAATGACTTAGAAAAATATTTCCAGTATGATGTTGTAATGCGTTTGACTATTATAAATGCCTTTCATTTCTCTCTCATGTAGGTTAAAGTACAGTAATATGTTCTACTCTAATGATTTTTAACATTGGTAATAACTACGTTAGATTGCTAGTGGTTTAGATAAAAGACTGCTATTAATCACTGAAAGATGTTAAAAGAAAGCCCATCTTCAGAAGCGGTGGTTTCTCTGAGTGTAAACTACCCACTATCTGGACATTTTCTACATCTTTACAGAACATTACCGTTTCACAACTCTACCAGAATATGAACTGATGAAGCAGTGACTGTAGTACCCATGTGGTTCTAGGCCACGTACGTAAGTTCACTGGGTACTCTTGGTAAATACATCTTTTGAACCAGCATAACTTGACAAGCTAATTTAGTCATTTACCAAATCAGTAGAAATACTTAATGCATACTTAAAAAAATTCCCCCCCCCAAACTGAGAATATACTCTTTCCAGGTATAGAGACAAGAAGTTAGTCTTTATTTTCAAAAGCTTATTAAATTGCTGAAAGTTACTCTGTAAGGCATCATAAAATAGTAGTAAGTCTGCCTGGTTTGCTAAAACCCTATTGCATAATTTCTTTTGTGTGTTAATCATCCTCATAACTACTTTAAATCATTGCCTTAATTACCATAATGAAGTGTCTCTTTATAGAATTATTGATTATTTTCTTTCTCATTGCATTTTTAGCTTTGTGTTACCAACAGATAGCTTTAAAACAGTTGGATAAGCTGCAAAACATGTTTGCTTTGTCAGAGTCACTTTTGGCTTTCTGGCAAAGTGTGCTTGTGGAGAATCATTAAACGTTATTAATTATGTAGAAAATAAATTACCAGGAGGGGAATGGCAAATAATCTTGTAAAAAAACGGACTACTGTGGAATAACAGGCTTTAGTTTTCAAAATGAGAGTAATGTAAAGCATGGCTTTCAATTTGAGCATATTGATCAGTAAAGCAAATATTAACCGTGTAACCCAGTATCAGGAGTATCTGCACGTACCTAGCTTGCCAGATAGAGGTACGCTACAGTACGATTTGTTATAATTGCTTCTTAGTCTGCTGTAGGCCCTCTCGTATACAGAAAGAAAAATAGCACGTTTGCTTTAGCTCTTTCTGCCGTTCTCACAGCTTTCCTTTCTCTCTCCCTCGTTCTCAGAAGTCTTCCCATTGTGTTAACATGCACTCTCACTCTTTTTCGCATAACCGTGCCAATGCCTGAGGTGGGTCTTTTTATGCAAAATACTAAAACGCTTTATAATGGGGTCATTATTCATTGTCATGTGCGGTGAAGCCGAGGCGTCGGAAGCAGAGCGATTTTCCCAAGACCACCTAAGAGAGCTAGCGACAGAGCAGGGAACACAGCTCGCGGCCCCGAGCGTAGGCGGCGCCTGACCGCTTCGGTAGCAGTTCGGAGTGGCCGGTTTCGTGACCTTTGCAGCTTCTCTTGCTATGTCAGTGAGAACCTGTTTTTCCTAAGTCACTGGCAGCCTCCTTAGTACTGTCAGGTCCAGCTGGGATTAGTCTTGAGTAATCTTACTTTGTTGTAAAATAAGTTTATCAAAGCTCAGATACTGAAATGCATGGATCCTGTCTTTGGAGCTTGAAATATAAAGTTAATATTTGGAGGGGCCTTCAATTTTAAACAGTGCCGAATGATTTCATTGTCATCAGTGTTATTAATTTGCATGTGCAAAAAAGTTTCAAAAACATATTAGTTGATTTTGTCCATGATTTCTCGTCAATGGATGTTCATTGGTACATAAAAATGTTATTGAGGAAAAGTTTTCTTTATACTGGTTAAAAATACTCTATTGAATGGGAGCGTGCAGAGTGTGAAAATGATTATTCAGACTGCTGTTCTGGTGCATATACACAGTAGTACTTGGGATAGATACCTCGGGAAGAAAATCTAATTTGGACTACTTGTAAGATTTATTTAAAGTATAGTTTTTCAAGATTTTTTTCATGTTTCTTTGCATAGAACAGGGCAGAGCTGGTAACATGGAGCAGTTCTGTGGGATTTTGAGATCTCATCTTCTTGAGACTCAAGTATTTCCCCAAAGTGACAATGCTTAGTGTTTGGCAGGATTTTTTTTCTTTTTTTGAGAGTATAGGTCACTAGTTTTCCACAGCAATGTTGGTAAGAACGTGAGTAGGGTCCACTAGTCTTTCATGCCAAGATCTGTGGTGTAGGGGGGCATAGAAGGATGGCAGTAGTGTTTTCCAGTGGAATAAAAGGAGTGCTCTGAAATG